ACCCAAAACCTAGGTATGTGCTAATATTGGGAGTAGAACCTACAACCTTTTTGGTGTATGGGATGACACTCCATCCACCCAAGCCAGCCAGGGCTGTACCAGCACAATCTTTTCTTAGGAATTCATTAGTAAGGTTTTCTTAAAGCTGCTAATTTATATACATTATGATGTAATGAGCTCCAAAATGTTTGTTTAGTGAAGGAATGATGGAAGTAATATCCTTTCTTAGTAGACGTTCAGTAATGCTTTCTTTTAAATGTTTTATTCAAAAGTCCCTACACAAAAGGCAACACTAACCAATAAGCAGATATTTACAATATACTTAGAAATTCAGTTCTGTTCATTGGAATAAAATTTGCATTAGACATCAATATATACCATAATGATTCCTATTTAATAGATTTGTTAATCTATTAAAGTATCACTCTTCAGAATTGCTATTAATGTATCTTTTTTGTGTATATCATGTATTTCATACTTTTATATTTCTTGTGTGTAAGGAAGGATGTGTTAGAATATTAATGTTTAGATTTTATGGAACTTTGAGTTACACATACCTTCAGGATTAGTAAATGTTTGTCACCAAATGCCTCACATTAAATTAAAATTGAGTTGGAAAGTATTTAATCCATTTGCAAATATGCCTCATTACTCATCTTCAAATAATATTTATTCATAAAAATAAACACATTTCCTTGCTGGAATGAGTCAAATATATTTTCTTATAGATGATTTTAGCTACACATTTATGTTGTTTTAGTAGGTAATTTCCATGTTAGACATTAATTTTTCATCATCTTGCTGCTGCTACAATGAGTTACTTGTCTTGAACGGAATTCTATATGAATGTGATCCTTTTTTTCCATTCCTTATGGCAAAAACATGTTTGTTAATTTTCATAAGTAGATTTAAGTTCTTTTCACTTTTATTAAAATTACAGAATGCATCTTGTGATACATTTTCTGTGCGTAAGACTTGTAAACTACATAAGATATTTAAAAATGCAAAAGCCAGGCCAATTTTTATCCTAAATCTTTCCAATTCTGAGATGATCCGGTTCTTCAATTAAACGTGTTACTGTACAATAATGTCCTTGTAATAGCAAAGACTAAATGTACATCTAAACGAAGAAAAAATGCATTTGGAAAAACCAATAAACTATATAGTCATTACACTGTATTACGAGAATCTGCCATCTGTGTTGAGGTTAACTTTTAAAGGACAAAAAGCTGATATTTGTTTATATTTGCGTTGTGAGGGAGGATGGTCATGGCTTTTGGTGATAGCGAAATAGAAATAATTTGATTTTTGCTTCAAAGGAAAAAGATGATAGATAGGCTCCATTTTTATTGTAAGCAATAGTAGAAATAAAGAGTAACAAATTTGAAGCTAAAAATTGCATTTTTTACATAGGAATAAATTTCCTGTTCATGGTAACAAGAAAATGCTGGGTTAATTTTCTGCATTAGTCTACTTAATCGTTAAGTTCTGAGATGGCTGCCACTAAGGCCAACATGAATCCAGGAATCAACCTCATTTCATATTATCTGGGCCATTACCTGTGCTTGGTAGCCATTTATCCCCAGAGTTGGTCTACCAAGTAGCTGACTACACTCCAGATGGTAGGAATCACATAGTGTTCACTACTATGTTAGAAAATAAGGAGAAAGACCTGGGAAATGAAACTCGGTACTGTATTTCATGTGAGTACAGTGCTTAATGTTACCATGTTTTACTCTGTCAGTCAATATTACATATAGGTAGCAAATAGTTAACATCTTAAGTTTTCTGTGTGTCTTTCTGGATCAGGTTTTTTTTAAAATGAGACTCAGATTCTTTGAAGTAGTCATTTGGGAGATTGGGAAGGCAGGTAGTAAGCTTAATTGATAATTATGATCTTTCTACTGATGCTAATATGGCAGTGGTCTCTGTGGCTTCTATGTAAGTATAGAGAAAGAAAATAGATGGCTCTATATATGAGTATGCTTTTTACCAGAGGGATGTAAAAAAAGAATCAGGGGTAGAAGGAGAGAGAACAGTAATGTTCTAGAAAAATACATTGTAAAATCGAAGCTGCTTGCAGCCTTAGCCGGTTTGCTTCGGTGGTTAGAGCGTCGGTCTGCTGACTGAAGGGTCCCGAGTTCAGTACCGGCCAAGGGCATGTACTTCCGTTGCACGCTTCTTCCCCGGGTCTGGTCGGGGTGCATCCTAGAGGAAACCAATGTGTCTCCTTCATATTGATGCCTCTCCCTCTCTCTCTTTCTTTCTCTGTTCCCCTCTCCCTCTTTCCCTCCCTCTCTATAAGCACGTCCTCAGGTGAGGATTAAAAAAAAAGTTAAATTATGTATATCAAAGAAGGAATCATAAAATCATTAGAAAAGGAAGTGTTATTAAGTGAGTTTTGAGATAGGTGCCAATAACTTGGGGGGATATGTAAATGAGATTAAAGAGTTATATTTGAAATATTAAATCATAAGAACAATTAGAAAAATTGTATAACTGAATATATTGTGTAACTGGAGATAAAATAACTTTCCAAGCTTAGAACTGATGGGGGGCGGAAATAGTAGCTTTGAGTACATAAGTATTTGAAACTTCTGTTTTAAACAACATGCAAAAATGGAAAAACAACATAGTATTTGTAGCCTTTATGTTTATTTACCTAAAGAGCTTGTGATACACTTTAAAAAAAATGCCACATGATCCCACTTATATGTGGAATCTAATGAACGAAGTAAACTGATGAACAAAATAGATCCAGAGACATGGAACAGACTGAGGAATCTTAGAGGGAAGGGAGGGGGGCAATTAACCAAAGAATTTATATGCATATATGCATAACCCATGGACACAGACTGTAGTGTGGAAGGCCTGGG